CCCCGTTTTCTCTGTTTCCCCCGCCTTTGTCTATGGGAGCAGACGCTGTATGCTGGGACCTGTTGCCATCCATTCCTTTGTAATCAATTTAATTCTGCTTTCGATAGCTGAGTCAGAGCATTGTTAGTGAAGATAATAGTAGAGAATGAAAATGAGTTCATAGTCTCAATTTCAACGTCAGAGGGTACCGTAAATTAATTCATTGGAATAGGAGTAGCTGGACTCCCTGGCCTAGTTTGAGTGAGGGCGCCGCGGGCATTTTAACCGTTAGTAAGTGCCCGTCCCTTCATCCATACAGGTATGCCATTCCACGCTGTGTTGTAATTTGCCCTTCTTTAAGTGATTTGACCCAATTGATAGTTGATTGTGCAAGTGTTACAGTAACGTAGTTGATATGCTCTGAGTAAAGTCATATTTACGTCTTTAACGTCCCCTGAAACGTGTTGTTGTTGTCACCGGTTAGTAAGTGCCCGTCCCTTCATCCATACAGGTCCCTAACGCAGCCTAGGCCGTGTCTGTAGGGTGGATGTTGTATCCACTATGTCTGGGGACATGTCCGAGGTCCAGTAGGATCAGTTACCTTCGTGAGACCCGGCCGTCAGACACTTCAGACCACCTATAGCCCCCATAGCTGGCTCGTCTGGCCCTAACGCTCGGTCCACGAGGTGACCCTGGACCACCAAGCCACACACCACTACCAGCCCCCATCATTGGTGGATGAATGTCTACCTCAGTAGGGCTATATTTGTGTGGTGGAATTAACCCACTGGGATCTCCATAGTTCGTCGGATAGTACTCCATGGTGGCTGGACCCCATGGCTGTTGCTTGAGTATCACTCCTGACGACTGAGTGTTGTAGTGGCAGTTGCCTAGTATTTATGGTGCTAAGTGACTATCATAGTTGTGTTATTGAATATGTCCACCCAGTAATGGTGTGAGTATGTTGAGCTGAGGGCCTAGTAATAGATTTCGTCTGTTAGTACAAACCAATTCTTTCTTCTAATTTCATATTCATGTTTAAATAAACTTTGTATTTGTATAATTGTGTATATTATTTACCTACAGTATTTACCGTTATTTCTTCCCTATTGCTTGATACTATCATTACACCTACCCACGAGCCTCCTATCGTCACGCTACCAATGGTGATATATAAGAGTAAAAGGAATTGTTACTGGCACACAGGCCCTCATGAAGGGTGGCAGTAGCAGCCCTCATAAATGGTGGCAGCTCAAGCCCTCATACCACAGGGCAGTGTGTTGGGCCCGCTGTTGTTTGTTTGTTTCATAAATGACATGCCTGACGTTGTACATTCCTCCATACAAATGTTTGCCGATGACGCCAATTTATTTCGGGAAATCAAGAACCAAGCGAACTGTGAAGAGCTGCAGAAGGACCTCTGTGGGCTCCAAGAATGGTCGAAGAAATGGTTGCTGAGATTCTATGTCACGAAGTGTAAGAGGATGCACCTGGGGCGTACCAACGGTAAGAAGGCGTATCATATGTCCCAACGGGATGAAGAAACTGCACTATTTGAGACTGAATGTGAGAAGAACCTAGGTGTGTACTGTATGTTGACAATGAGCTGAAGTTCTCGGGTCATTGCGAGAAGAAGGTAAATCAGGCAAATAAATTATTGGGTCTTATAAGAAGGTCGTTCAGATATCTAGACGGTCCGTCTCTCGTAACGATCTTCAAGAGTGAAGTGCTTCCCCATCTGGAGTACTGTCACCCCATCTGGTCCCCGAGATATGCTAGGGACTGTCAGTTGGTTGAAAATGTTCAAAGGAGGGCCACCAGACTGGTGCCTGCACTTCGGCACCTCAGCTACCCTGAGAGATTGGAGCGCCTGAACTTGCCTAGCTTATACTACAGACGGGCAAGGGGTGACCTAATTGAGGTGTATAAGCATCTCAAGGGGCACTACTCAGTCGAGTGTCCTTACTTGGAGCTGGCGGACGCTCACCCCACAAGGGGTCACAGCTCAAGATTGAAGAAGCCGCAAGTCCAGAAAACTGTGAGAGCAAACTTTTTCGGAGTGAGGGAACAATCTACCAGAGAGTGTTGTAACGGCACCGAGTGTGAGCTCTTTCAAGACCAGACTTGACAAACACTGCAGCGAGTTCAGGTACATTCAGGAGCCGGTGCATGCCCAGTATTTGCCAACAGTGCGTAACAGAGACGTGACCGATCGCCCAAGCGGCTAACGAGCCGATCAGTGGTGAAGAGGATAAAAGTAAAAAATAAGTGCCCGGGTGGGCTAATCCCCGTTAAAAAACACCTCACAGCTGGCTGTCTCCAGTCCAGGCTCCCACAATGCTGCTCGCGCTAGTCTGTGACATCACAACCAATCTCAGAGTTTTTCGCAGTCACGTGACTTTTTTAGCTACTTTAACCCTTATTTTTTAACACTTTTTGGCCCAAATTACTTAAAAATATAATTACCATGGTGAATTTAAGCGTTTTCTTTACCCATTGTCCTGCTATCTTACGAAAAAATTCCGACTGACAACTCGTCCTTTACTGTATTAGCTCTCCTCTTTGCGGGTGTATAGGTATAACAAATTAGAATTGAGATGAAAGTTGTAATCTGCAATGACTAATGCTGCATCATTACGTTACAGTATTTTTATTGCAAAGTAAACTTATGCTTTGAAATTAATATACACTGTATAACTTCCCAGATAGTGCAGTATTGTTTATCATTGGACTAAATTTACATTCATCCAGTAATGATTTTCGATAAGTCAAATGACACTTTTTGATGTGGATTTAAATGTCAACAAACTCGACGAAGAAATGCTCCTGACTCAGTCCACGTTTGCAGTGTCCGAAATAGTCACACAAAATTGTCAAATGTCATTATCATTTTGGTATGTACTTATATTAGAATATGTTCAGTTAAAAGTTATATAAATAAATTATTGATTCTTTACTACCCTTAAGAATTAAATTTATGAAATAAGTTAATTTAAGTATAACCAAGGAATATCATAAGGAACTAAAATTCCCTTACATTTTATTTTGGCTCCCAACACGAGCGTCATCTGTTGGACAAGCTAAAATCATAGAAAATGGTCATTGTCATCTAGAGAAAAATTTTATTTACTTAACGGAAACTCTAGTATTTCCTGCTGATTTTACTTTCTCTACTATCAGCATTCATTTAATTATTATCTTTTAATCATTTCACCACTTATCAACTTATTAGCCGTTCGGAAGGTTTGTCTGGCCTTTGTTAGTTTTATCATGAACTACTTTGTCCAGTGTTAATGCAGGAGGAAACGAGTACACGGAAGAAAATTTTGATAAAAGTAAATGTTCAGCTTACTTAGCCAGTCCATAAATATGTAATGATAATTAAGGACATCAACTATCAAAGGAAATGAAAGTTAAAGGTAGCTTAATGTAAATGATCTGGAAAGTTCTACTAAATTACTGAGCCTTTTTTTTTACCCAAGGTTATCTTTAAATTCTGTTACAATTGCAGTTGAAAATGTTTATTACAAATATAAAGCAACTGCTCAAGCAAGATATCGATTATTTCTATGTTATATGGAAGGAAAATACAGGGGTTAAAGAGATATTGCTCGCGTGGTTTTCAAATGGTTGGCGAAACTGCAGTTTAAGACTCACTGAGTAACCCCCCTTTTTATGTAGCACAAAATTATCGGAAATTAATAGGAAAAAAGTTATAGCCAATTTAACTTTGCTTTCCACTTGAGTCTCAAGCTAGTCATATAGACAGGTGGTATGTGACACTCATACCAGTGAATCGCACGATGAATTGAATTGAATTGAAACAGTTTATTTAGCCAGAAAAACACAGATACAGAGTGGATAATAATAATAATATTAACATGGCTGAGCCAGTTGAGAACTTGAGCTCACTTTTAGGCCCCTGGGTGATATATACTGTACATTCACGGGGAAATGTAAACAAACCATGCTCTTACTTTTCTAACGGTTTCCTGCATTTCTAATTGTAAATTTTAAAAGATAAAATTACACTATAAATAACTATAAAAGGAGGGGGGGGGGGTTCTCGACGGGTGATACTGGACAATCAAGTTCACAACACAAAGTAACAAACAAGAGACCTGCCTCCCGGATGTCTGGTACGATAAGTGTGAAATTAAAAATTTAACTGCAATTTAACCGTCACTGTTTATGAATCAAACATATAACTAAGAACTTACCTTGGTAAATTTGTATTGGTGCAAACAACTCTGTTAGAAAGTCAAAATTCTGTTTTTCTAGTGTATTTATGTGTATTTTGATTGGTTTTGACCTTGATTTTCGTCGGAAATTGTCTGTTTTTTTAGTTATCGGAGGTTTTGCGTGGGGCGTTTTCCGACAAAAATCATGGCCAAGGAAATACAAAATACACCAAAAAACACTAAACATATAAACCTAACCAATCTGTGACCACCCTCTCTTTTCTACCCAGTGCCACCAGCCAGTAACACCTTCTCCTCCTCCGCCTGGCTGGTGGTCCTCGCTCCCGCCGGCGAGCATGGCGACCCACAGGCTGGTCCTCCTCTGAGCGTCCTCACCAACCAGCTCTCTCTACATCACGCTTGTAACCATGCTGCCTTCCCAGCACCAAGCTGCATTGTACATCCAATACAACATGTATATAGAGAGCACATTGTGAGTTTCCTTTCTCCATCCCATCCTGAGTGTGAACCAAACATCCTGAACCCCACAATAGATTTGGGGTTGGAAAGTTGTGTGCACCAATTAAAAAGTACTCTACCTTTTCTATCTGAGAAGAAATGAAACCTTAACTCTATTATTTCCTTATTTTTCCCACAAAGAACACAGCGGTGGCCAGGGCGCTGGGTCGGAGCCATGTTCATATCTACCGCCACGCTCGCCAGCTTATGAACACGCAGACGATTCAGCGTCATCTCCAGGACAAGCATCCAACTAATAGATATTGCCTGACTCTGGTGAAATTAATTGTTCCTTGTGATATACATTCCTTGGTAGTAATGCGTAGCCAAATGCAAGAATTCGGACGTTGACGGCTGTGGAGGCGAGTGCCGATGTAAACATTGAAGATGGCAGCGAGCAGCACAGACACCTCGCTCGAAAGAAATGATTTCACCCCCAGTATCAGGTAAATTCACGTCTTGTAAACCACAGATGTCCAATAACGTATTTTATTACCACCAGTAACAATAAAAAGTGAAGTACTCGGTGAACTTCGCCCAAAAATGTCCACCTGTTTGACGGTGAAGTTCACACCCATTACCCGAGTGTATTTTATGTGTTATCATCGGGTTTTTAGTGACTTTATCTGTTGGATATTTTATTTGTTATCAGATGATGCACCATCCATCAGCCAAACACTTACTGTTAAATATTCATGCAGTTATAATTTTATTTTGGTCAACAGAGTGTAGGTTTCATTTGTATAATTTATGTGAACAAAGGTATGCTTGCATACCTATGCCACTTAATTAGGACTACAACTTAAGGAAATTTATCTATAGAAGGTAAAGAAAAATAACCTTGGGAAACTGACATTAAATGCAAGAGGAATAATTTCACTTTAAGAATTGTTTACAATTTTCAGTCTCTGTCACTGCTGCCTTGTTTATTTTCTGAATTTGAGGATTGGTTTGTTCGTAGATTGTTAGGTAAATTTTCATAAGCGCACCCAACTCTGTTAGAAAGTCAAAAATATATTTTTCTAGTGTATTTAGACCGATAATGACCTTCATTTCTGTCGGAAATTGGCCGGGGTTTTTTTATCGATTTATTTTTCATGGGGCGTTTTCCGAAAAAAAATAATGGCGAAGCGAATACAAAATACACCAGAAAAACATAAACCAAACCTAACCTAACCGACTCTCACCATATGATGGAATCCCTTATTTCTCACCTTATTGGCCGTCTCTTCTTTGTCTTTGAGATAAGGGACGAGTTACCACAATGCTACATATGTTGGTCGTGATATTTACATTCGTTCTTGCACATAGGACACTTTACTGAGGTCGGGAGAACACCATGAGATCGAAAAAGTGCTATAGTTTCTTAGTTTTTTTCCCCCAAAACTCGCAATCAACTCCATATAATTGAAGTGACACCCATTGCAGACTTTCATGGTCGGAAATAAATTTGAATTTGGAAATATGACACCCAAAATGAAAATAAAATTTGATTGGGCCAAAAATACCGCAAATTCAACCACAAATTATTTTAATTGGTTGCCAAAAAAACGCTTCTGATTGGCTATGTGACGTGTACGGGAACGCATGCGCGTGATGATTTATGAACGAGACATGCAGTGTGGGAGGTGAGGTAGGCGATAATGGCGGAAGATTAATGGAAGAAAATAGAGAAAATTTTGGATATGCTATCTCCGTTATTATACATTTGCAACGGTAATGTAATAGAAGAAAATTATCTTATAATTAGACGTCTTATTCGAATATGATAATAGATTAGGGGTAGCAATGTGGGGTGTGAAAATGCAATAATACCGATTTATTATTATTTTACTTCATTTTAAATACAGCTACATTCTATAATTTATCATTCATGAAATGAAGAAAACTAAGCTACTAAACCTGACCAAACCTCACATACTACAATTAATTTCTATTTAATTCTCTTAAAATAGAGAAAAATTTATTTTTATAAAAATAATAATTTTTTACAGTCTAATCATGGCATGCATGGAAAGTTCCTGTCTGCCATCTTCCTCTACCAATTTTGGCTATAAAAAGTGTTATTACACAAAAGACATTCCTCGTCTACTTTTTGTCATTTAAGTGAGGTAAGAAAGATTTTATCTTATGTGGAGAAAGTTCCTCAAGTTGGTGCTCAGGCTAGACCACTTTGTTAAGTATCGTACCACTGAAGACAACATTTTTTTTTTACATAAAAAAGTCGGAAATAAGTACTGTACTAGGAATTGCAGCTTTTTTTTTCTGATCTTTTTGTTTTGAATACCTGGTACTGAGGTATATCCAATCAGATATCACGCTAATATAATTTTGATTGTTTACATAAATGCTTCCAGTAACCATTTTGTACACATGAATGCTTCCAGTAATTGCAGACCAGTCCTAAAGTCCCATGATATTGCCCCCAGCACCATGATAAACAGAAGAAGTCTCAAAACTGACCCCCTGATGAACCCATATTTTCACTTCAAATTCCTCACTTTACTTACCGATTACTCTTACAGAGGTTCTTTGAACTCTCATATAATGCCATAACCAGTTGAACTATGTACTCAACTCCTAGGTTTCTCATTCCCCACTTTATTAAATAATTTTCTCCTTCCGTAGACATTTCTCGTGTAGCTCCCTGGCCATAAATATTGCTTCTGTAGTCCCCATACCTGGCATAAACCCAAACTGTATTTCATTTATATCTACTCTCTCCCTTATCAATTTCTCAAACACTCTTTCTACAACTTTCATAACCTGATTTAGCAGGTTCAGGCCCCTGTAGTTCCCACATTCAGGTGCATCACTTTTACCCTTGCAAGTACTGTATTCACAATCACACTCTTCCTCCAGTCTTCTGGAACAGTATATTCCATCATTATTGTATTAGTTAATTCGGTCATCATTGACATGTGTACCAATATCGCTTGATGCTTTTAGCATGTAGGTATGATAATCCTCTGAAATAGAGCAATGGTTTATCAGTACTGTACAGTATTATAAGACCAACAAGGATATGATAAGAGACTTTCATGAAATGGCACCTCGACATTACAAAAGCTTCTTTAACAACTGAATACAACATTCCGGAAATAACTGCCACCATTACACTATCAGATAGATTGAAACAGATCGTCCACCACTTTTATTGGACATGTGTTGTCATTATTATATTGTTGATATTGTACTGTACTGTACATTAACGTAGCTTCCATTAGTACAACTTTAGGATACCGTTTATTTAGACATTTGTGTTATTTACGAAATTCTCGGTATCATTTCAACATCATGATCAATAATAACCTCTAATACAGTACTGTACTGTATTTACTGTACAGTACTATTGAGATATTGTACTGTGTACTGGCTTCCCCAGCTCTGTCCTTAATGTCGAGCTTGACCTACTGAACAATTGTCGAACTATGGCCTCACGTGTAACACCTTATGTTCATGTGTGAGTTGTGCATGACCAACACAGTGAGCCTTCGCCCGGAAACGATCCCTGGCTTTAACTCCCCTCCAATCAGGGTGGGTGGGGGATCAGAAATTAGGGCTTGAGACTGTACACACGTATAATACCTGTAACCCATATATACTTCTACGTTAACATGAATCGTTTATAGATTTTTAGCTGCAATATTAAAGAATACAAGAAAAATTACTGTACTGTAAAAATATCAAAAAGTACAGTATGTAAACACAACTAAACCAGCAACAGGTATATGTGTGGTGAGATGTGGTTAAGGTCATTGCCAAAAGTTACTCACTGTTTTATCCACTTTACTATGACAGAGATTAAATCAAACGCTACCAAAGCTAAAGTAACTCAGAAAACCTATGCAGAATTATGTTTGTTGTAAAAATATCTTCAATACATAAGGCAGCAATCAGTGGTGCTGGCAGTGGTCATGTACTGTAGTGGGAGCCTGTTTAGTGTGTTTGTATACTTGTTTTCTTTTGCAGCGGTGCTAGGCCAACTACAAGCGGCATAAATTTTCAGCTCAGGTGACTACAGTCTGTATACAGTTTCCATTATCACATTAGTATAATATTCATGTTTATTATTGCTAGGTTAGATTTTAGGATCAAAATTCTTTGGACTGGAGTGCATCCCAGTATATAATTTGGATTTCTGGGTCGAACTTTTTTGGGCTGGAACACATCTCAGTTGTCACATATAGAAGGACTACAGTAGCTGTGGCCTATTATATGTGACCAAGAAAAATAATGAATTTGGGGAATGTAATTGTATGGTTGAACATCACTTTATTGTTGGGATACATTTTAATAAAGAGGGCATGGCAAGTGCAGTATCACTTGGCAGGTGGGGGGCACTATTCATTACTGTACTGTACTGTATTATCATAAACAGTGGGAAAAGACAGTCCAGTCATTGCCTGCTTTTCTGCTGTGTATACAAGCCAAGGTTGTATACACAGTAACAATTAAAGACCCAGTCCCCCAGTTGGTCTCAGTTTCTGCTATCTCAAACACTTGAAATTAAAAACATTGAAATTATAACTCATCTTTATAGGCTTTATGTTTGTAGTACATTCAAATATTTCACATCCTTGATGACTTATTTGTCCTTAAACTCATCACCTGCTTCTTCCTAGTGTACAAGACCACAACCTGGCTGGGTAATTATTATTTAAGACATATCATTAGCCTTGTACTTATATGTCGAAGCAACTACTATCGCTTGAGTGGAAGTAACATGTGAAACAAGTCATAATACACATCTTAGTTGTCAAATTTATCTAAGCTGGTTACTATAGCTATGTATTAAATGATCTTAAGAGGTAGTAATGCTGTATTAAAATCAAGGAGGGAAAAATTCTTGATTCATCATATACCATGGTACTGTATCTGGCTCCCTGAAATATAGCTACGGCATTTACAGTGGGGTATGCTATAACGAATCTAATTGGTTCTAGAACCTCGTTCGTTATAGGATTAATCCGTTCCAGGCCCCCAAATACAACCACTTAACACTGAAAAATTTCTGTGGAAATTGTAAAAAAATACGGTACTTTATCTTACCTTAGTGTTGTTAGTATGCAGGACAGGAGGCAGAGGAGGAGGGGGGAGGAGAGAATTATGAAGAAGAGTTGGAAGGAGAGGAGTCATCCTTCCTAGCCCTCTTTGGTGACTGTCTTACAGGCACTTTGTCTGTTTCTTTATGATTTCTTTCTTAGTTTCAAGGGTTATTAGCTTTCTCACGCTTTTGACGATTCATTGTTACAATTGTACACTTGTATAACAAAATAGTTATAAAAAAAACACGAATTTCCACATCAAAAGACTAAATTTCAACAAGTTCAGTGGTGCACTGACTACACAATGAACCAATATGGCGCCTGACGCTCTAGCTGTGAGCCGCGGCACAACAATATTCATGCGCCAGACGAAATAGTCCCGTATTCATCCGCGTTCGTTATAGCATTCTCAATTTTATCAGTAAAACCGTTCTTTATAGGAATATTCGTAGTAGAATCCGTTCGTTATAGCATACCCCACTGTATAACTTTAAGAAGCTTCATAATTCATACGGTATTTATTGATTAGTTCATACAGTATGTACATAAGGCCGTCATAAAATCAACCCCCCCTCCCCACCCCCAGGTGAACCTCTCACCTCACAACCTTCCACAGTGCCATCAGTGGTGGCCCTTGTTTTTCAGAGAACCTTTATTTAAGTGTTCTGGTAATACAGTAGTACAGTACAGTACGGAGAAGGTACAGTATGGATAATCTATTGAGTTGTCTTCAGCCACTAATTTTAGGCATTTGACTGGGTGCTAAACCCTTAGACTAAGCTGGTGTAATAACAATGGTTCCCTAGGATGGTTATTAGGTTAAAAAATTTATTTTACCTAAAAAATTCAAGTCTGATATACTGTACAGGTAACAGAATATGATCATTAATAATAATTCAATATTTTCAGAATTAATAACATTAATTAGTGTCTTGTTTCTGCTCCAGCACCATGCCCCCCAGACCAGAGGTGACATATAATTGGATCAATATAACATCTGAATTCTTCCATGCTACAAAGGGTAAGGATTTTTTTTCATTATATATATATATATATATATATATATATATATATATATATATATATATATATATATATATATATATATATATATATATATATATATATATATATATATATACACATATATATGCTGATAACCACAAGCGGTTTCGTGTAATTCACATCTTCAGGGGTGAGTACAGACTAAGGAGAAGTACATAACAAGGTACATATATATAGACTCGTGCACTGTTAAACAAATGTTAATCAAGAGCTCCCCCAACAATATAGGTGGCTACATTTATTAGGTTCCTTGCAAGGAATGTAATATGTTTTACTTAGGCCAGACAGGTAAAGATCTTGTAACTAGACTTAAACAACATAAATATAGTGTTAGGACAGGCCAGGAATCCAATGCTCTGTTTGTTCATTTGAGGGATAACAAGCATTGCATTGACTGGGGTAATGCCTCCTCAATATTACCTTGTAATTCAATTGATAGTAGGAACATCATAGAATCTAGTCTCATTAAACATACCGAAGCAGTCAACATGAATTTGAGTAATGGCATGTACAAACTGGACAATTTTGTAATTAAGAAGATTTGTAACCAGGTGAGAAGGTTGGGTCACCTTACCCTCTGACCTGACTACCGACCGTTGCGGTGCTTTTAAAGATTAGTAGGGTCATTACCTAATACCTGACCATTGTGGACCTGATCTCACCCTCCTCTTTATATATACACCTTGTTTTGTACTTCTCCTTAGTCTGTACTCACCCCTGAAGATGTGAATTACACGAAAGCGCTTGGGAACTTCGTGTTTTCTTCTTTCCTTGTGGTTATCAGCATATACCTGGATCACGCGCAACTACATATGATATATATATATATATATATATATATATATATATATATATATATATATATATATATATATATATATATATATATATATATATATATATATATATATATATATATATATGTAAATCCACAATGAAAATGTGGAGAAGATAAATCTTGATAAAATCACACAGGGAAAAGGGAAACAATGGAACACCTTAACTTTCGTCTTTATTCAAGACATCTTCAGAGGCAACTGAATTACATGGACAGAGAGAGGCTTAAATACACAGGGTGACCTTATTAAACATGAGGTCAGGTCATAATCATGCCATCCACTAATCCGCACACCAACACACACGCAGAGGAGCTTAAGAGAAAGGGCAACGTGACTATTCAAGTTAAGTCAGGTCAAAAATATGGGACCCACTAATCATCTATCCTACATAAGAACATAAGGAGTCTGCAATAGGCCGGTTGGCCTGTGCATGGCAGCTCCTGTCGAGAGTTACTATCACTCTTATCATCCATGAATCTATCCAGCCTCCCTTTGAAACTTTCCAGCGTTCCAGCACTTACTACAAAGTTGCTAAGCTTGTTCCACTCGTCCACCACCCTATTTGTGAACCAGTTCCTTCCTATCTCCCTCCTAAACCTAAACTTATCCAACTTGAATCCGTTGCTCCGAGTCCTATCCTGCTCGGATATTATAAGAACTTTATCTATATCACCTTTATTGATTCCTTTCACCCACTTGAATACTTCTATCATATCTCCCCGCACTCTAACTCCAATGCTTTCAAAGCATTTTTTACCTTGGGCCACTGACAAATAAATTTATGTAACATATCAGTTTTGTACTGACCATCACTAAGGTTTATGAAATTTAATTCCCTAATCAAACTAGCTTCAACCAGAAGTCTTTCTGTGACACATGATGATTTGTACACTTCTAAGCTGTTTTCCCAATCACTGGGATGATTATTGTTCCTAACATGAACGAACAGTGCACTGCTTTCAGATGCTGTTCTGATAATGTACTTGTGCTGTTTGATTCCGAGTTGCAATGCTTTCCCAGTCTGTCCTACATAATTTCCATTACATTTGCTACATGGAATACAATAAACACTTCCATTTACATTCAAAGTTGGGCTACTCTTGATTAATAAATTGGTAATGGTTGAGTCATACTTAAAAACAACATAATTTAAGGGACTGAACTAACGGGACAAATTCATTGCGATAAGGTAGTCAAAATATTCCTAAGTGTAGGAATTTGCCACCTGGTTTGAGTAGAATGAAAGGATTTTTTAGCCCTTTTAAAACAATGATCAACAAACAATGAAGGGTACCCAAGTTTTTGTGCAATGGAACGAATGTGTTTCAATTCTTCATCAATAAATTCAGCGTCACAAATTCGCAAACATCTCAAAAACATAGCAGAAAAAACTTAATTATGTTCCTGAGATGGACACCTTACCAGTAACTGGGCGGTAACCGACTCCCACAGACTCGAACGTTTTGTTTACTTACATTTCACCTCCTGTTTAGCCTATTGCTACTGCACTATTCAGTCTTACTCGGGTATTACACATCACTATAGGAGACCAGTAGCAAACGTAATGTTGGAATGCACAATATACAGTGGTCCCTCGGTTAACGAACGGTTCGATTAGCGAATTTTTGGTTTACGAATTAGCTCCCATCAGGATCTTCAATTCGGTTAACGAACAAAACTTTGATTAACGAAATCCTTACAACAAACACATTTTGTTGTGCGCATCAGCTAATCGGCTAGTCCGCCAATACAGTAATGGGTTTTATGCTTACATTTGTTTCCGGTGGAGTAAATATCAAGAAAGTTGTGCTCATTAATATTTTTGCATTTTTATTATACTGTATTAAAGTTATTTGTCATTTTAAAATTTCCTGCAGTAATTTCACCAATAAAGTACACTAGCTGTAATTTAAGATTATTTTATTTAAATCAACACTGCATTGCGCTATATATTATCAATATGTTAACTAAATTTCAGAATGACCAATAATTTTAATGTAAAAACATAAAAATACTCTGTATTCAAGAGAGCGACAAACACGATGTTTCCTCCACTGTAAACAAAGTTAAACTGACACTTTGGCGGGTCAGTCAAGCGGTTGATAGGCGCACAAAAAACTAGTTCCCTGTATATACATACACTGTTTACAGGAAAGCCTCTCATAACGACCGTTCTACTAACGACGATTCATATTTAAGACCCTGGTTAATTTAGGACCCATTTCAATTTACACCGTTATTTTCTTCGTATTTACGACGAAATTATTATAAAAAAATAAAGTAAAATTACATTTTCATATAAATAATAACTAAATCCCAATATGTATGATGCAAATAAAAGAAAAACACACCTTGCGCATAGAGGCTGCCGGGCTTGTGAGGGTGATGCCAGCATCACTAGTATAAACAGTCACAGCTGGCGGGTCTTTTGTTTTATGCCTTTGAGCAGGAACAGGAGAAAAACTTTCTCAGGTTTCTTATGACATTCTTGCATCTATTCAACATGAGCAAGTGATGGTAGTGCTGGTTCAAAAGCTAAAAGAAAGTGTCTGAGCTTAGCCGAGAAACAAGATGTGTTAAAACAATATGAAAAAGGTGAGAGGTCTGTGGATATTATATGGAGCAAGCAATGAACATATTTTCTGAAGTGGCTCCATTAACAGAACGAAGAATTAAAATTAACAGGGACATAAAATACACAAATGACCTCTACATAAAGATGTATAATGAGAAAAGAAAGTGGCTGTGCAAGGTTCTTTTGACAGCTTTATCATTCAGAGGCCTAAACCATCAACTTCAGCTACACCATCAAATTCAGCATCATAAGCAGCTAAATCAACAACTTCAGGTTCAGTAACAGTTTCAGCAACAGCTATGATATCTTTATGGAAAGCTTTAGCTTCAGCCAGAGTTGAACCTGATTGAGAAAATCATCTGAGTAAACACTCGCACAATAATTCATTGGCTGTCCTTATGTTTTAGACTTTACCACCATTTGTGAGTAGAATTTTTGTTTTTCATTCGTAAGTATTATTTAAAACATGCTGTATATGGACAGTAATAAGTGTTACTTTTATATGTAGAGAAATGACGATGTTTTCACATACAGTTGTCCCTTGGTTAACGAACGGTTCGATTAACTAAATTTCGGTTAACGAATTACCTCCCAAAAGGATCTTCAATTCTGTTAACGAACAAAACTTTTATTAACGAAATCCTTATGAACATCACGTTTTGTTTTGAGCACCATCTGATGGGCTAGTCTGCCAATTCAGTAATCTGTTCTATGTTTACATTCATTGCCAGTGGAGTAAATATCAAGAAAGTTGTGCTCTTTAATATTTTTGCATTTTTTATATTAAAATTATTAGTCGTTTTAACATTTATTTAGCATATTGATAATACGTATATGCAGTACTACAGGGAACTAGTTTTTTGTGCACCCATCAGATGCCTGACTCAGCCAACAGGAGTCAGTTGGGCTTTGTTGACAGTGGAGTGAACATCTATTTTGTTGGTGTCTTGAATATTTTTGCATTTTTACAATAAAATTATTGGTTATTCCGAAATTTGGTTAACATATTGATAATATATAGCGCAGTGCATCAAGCACGGGTCCCCTGAATGGTGATTTCTCCTCCATCTCCACTTCCTTCTCTTCTCCTCCATCCCCACTTCTAATTCCCATCATCATCAACCAGGAACCTTCTACATGCACACCTCAAAGTAAGTGTACTTTACTACATTTTATTTTTACTTTGTATGTACTTTTCAGTGAGCTGGAACCAATTACCCAATATCCCATTGAAACAATGGATTCGGTTAATGAACGACCCTCTGGAATGAATTGTTCAATAACTGAGGGACCACTGTATACAGTACTTTACGCACTTACATATGATGGCGTTCCCAAACTATTTTTTTCTTTACCATTAATGGTTATCTACTTCTATTGTTCCATTTATTAACATTAAATAACATTACTTAGTACATACATATTAATTTTTTTTACATTAATTTTACTACAACAGCAACCAGGGTCTTATTTCTTCAGTTTCTTTTGTAGAAGTAGAACCATCGTCATTCGACACGGGTGTTGTAAACATGAACGAAAACAATGCCGTCTCGTCTCCTCTTGTGTGTTTTAATATTCTACGTATTATTAATGAATTGCATTGTTCGTTTCACATATATGAACATTAATTCAATCAAATACATATTCAGTAATGAACAATAATGAATCTTTTGTACAGTAGCTAACACAACTGTCTGTGCTGGTTGGGGTCGATATGCTCCGAAATTTTACTTGTGACTAGTGACAGCCTCATACACCAGAATTTATTGTCCATGGTCTCATATTGTTTCCCACAAAGTATGCACTGATAGTGGTTTTTACTACTGTACATATTCTTAAGGTAAATGACGTGGTTTCCTTGAGGGCACGAGTATACATTGCCGTTCCACTATCACTCTCTTTTTTTCTTTAACATTAGTAGTTACCTTTACTGTAAAAGTACATTAAATAACATTAATTAAAACATACATATTTTTTACATTAATTTTACTGCAACAACAACCAGGGTCTTATTTTCTTGTTTCAGATGGATAACTGACATTATGGGTGTAAACACTGACAACAATAATAGCGTCCCATCTCTTGTGTGATATTATTATTATTATTCATCTATATTGTATAAGGAGCATTCATAAACATTTTTTAAAGACTATAGTTTGCATTTTCATTAATTGTATTGTTTAGGGGGAAAAGAGGGTAAAAAGCCACACAAAAGTTATGAGAAGGTCACACTTGGGAGCACATCTCATTATTATTGCTTTATTTTAATGATAATTAATGATTCACAATACTATGATTTACCTTACACTGCAATAATGGAGGACACGTTACCGTCGTTATTCAAGGCTTTACTGCAGGGGTTCTTAAACTTTTTTTCAACCAAGGACCCCTTATATACCATGACACATACAAATATTGTCAATAATCAAAGAATGAATCTTAGTCCAAAGCATTTGTTCAATTCAACCCAAATACAAAATATCCTGCGAATTGGAATCGCCAAATCTCTCACAAAACGTTAAACACACTATTTCTCAAAAACTTTTCACGGACCCCAGTTTGAGAATCACTGCTTTACTGTATACAGTACTGTATATATATATATATATATATACAGCCACTCCTCGACTTACGACCACCCGGACATACGACCGACCCAGTCGTACCAAAAAATTTTCAAATTATGTACGTATTTTCGAGTCCTGCCGTTAGTGATTGCGCTGTGTACTGACAAAATTTTCGTTGGTAATTCCCTTTAAAATGGCTGGCAAGCTTAAAAGTGAGAGTTTTGTGGTGCTGAGAAGAAAAAGAGACAACCATTTTAGATTTTCTATGTATTATCTTCGCATTTTCGACTTACGACCTGGATCTGGGTCCCTAACCCCGTCGTAAGTCAAGGAGTGGGTGTATGTGTGTATATATGAGACCATGGACAATAAATTTTGGTGTATGAGGCTGTCACTAGTCATACGTAAAATTTCGGAGCATATCGACCCCAACCCGCACAGATAGTTGTGAAAGTCTGGAGCTTGATGAAGTGTACTGTACAGTAGGGTGAAAACTGGTTACTGAAGCATAAGATCATCAGGATCACTGTTGGAAAAGGGTGATGCAGTGGTGGTTGGTGGAGAGGCAGATGGCGGGGGGGAGCAGCGGCAGCAGCTGCCCGAGTAGGTCAGGGAGTTGAATCAGCTGGGCAAGCAGCTGGTTCTTTCTTAAAAACATCATGATTGGTAGTTGTTTCCTCTTGGTTTTGAGGTCTCTAAATGTTTCTCTCCACTAGCATCACTAGCACAGGGTAGTCTTTTAGTTTTTAGTACGACACAAGAGATGCTGCATCGCAAGCAATGGTTGAGCACAAACAAAGGAAGAGGAGACACTCCGGGCACATGGGGGTGACTCGTTGCGCTGCGGGAGGAGCTCATAAGCTAGCCACTATCTGCTTACAGCAAATAGTCGAAATCGCAATTCGCAAACCCGCAAATAGCAAGGGTTTACTGTAATTATTTTAGGTTCAATTCATTGTCTTTTTCATCAGATAACATTTGAAAATTATTATGACTGTCACTGTTTGAAATATTTTTAAGGAATCAGCATTGTTTTAGATTACTGTATTAATTTGTGAAATAAATAAAAATTTCTTTCTCATCCAGATTTGCAGTTGGGTGAGCTGTTGCATGATGATATTTTTGGACTCTTTGAAGCCATGTCTGCCATAGAGATGATGGATCCTAAGATGGATGCAGGAATGATGTGTAACAGAGGCAAGAAGGTGTTAAATTTTGACCAAGCTGTTAAGGTTGGTATTACAAACAGATGCAGTTCATTGTTTAGCAGTAGTAGTGTGTAAATGATCCCCTTTTTGGTTTTTTATCGAATTTAAATTGCTGAGCCATTATTAATGGATAGGCAACTGCAAAAGAAATAAGTAGGGAAGGAGAGAAAGCTGTACATAGTATTTATAGACATTGAGATGGCATATAATTGGGTTCCACACAAGTAGCCAATGAGAATTTAAGGGTTGAGGAATACAAAGAGGCAGCTGTTTTTGAGATAATTGACAAATTTTTGTGTTGAGATAAACTGAGATGGTTTGGGCATGTGGAGAAAATGAAGGAGACACATTGGGTCAAGAGGTGCATGAGTCTTAAATAGGGAAGGAAGGAGAGCTGGGAGAATGTCAGGAGTGCTGTGGGTGTTAGGAAATGACATCAGAGTTAAGAACCTGACAAAAGAGGCTGCAAGAGACCCTGCAGCATGGAAAATGGCTGTAAGACACTAATGGTGAGAGAGAAAACAATTGAAGTAGAGTACAATACTGTACTAATATTTGTTGGACAAGAGATAAATGTTGAAATTTTATAGAATAAGGAAAGTGATATACAGTATACTCTACTCAGAGCCTATAATTAGAGATGATGAGGGTAATTATAGAGATATTAAGGGGCAAAATTGAGGATAGAAGGGCCAGAGGAAGGTAGAAACTGGAATAGATGAACAAAATTTAGAGGGTGAAAGAAAATCAGAGAGAATTGGTTGAGACTACAAACCTCAGATCCATATCTAAAATGTGTTTGTACCCTAAAAGTTGCTTTACTTTAGGATTTTAATTGCTTGCATGTTGATAGGCTGGAGCTCTAAAACTGAATAATCTGACGATGGAAGAATTGGTTGGTATAATGGACTCCATGCTGGCCTGCTTGGTGACCTGGCTAGAGGGCCACTCTGCTGCACAAACCATCCTCACCTGCCTCTACCTTCACAAGCCTCTGAGCATTGAAGATCGAGCACTCAGAGCATTTTCCATACAAACTTTGAAGCTCATTGCAATTATAAATAACATTGTTCATAGGTATGTAGTACTGTAGTTATCTTTTATAATGACCTGTAAAGATAGGCTGGAACAGTATATCTTAATTTTGCTTCAAGCTGATTGTGTTGATCAGAGAAATCTAAATCTCATACGAACAATTTATTTTGTAGATATGCTTAAGTATTGAAAGAATATTGGAGCCACCTTAAGAAGTAGCTTTTGAAGAAAAAAATAGCTTACCACTGTGTGCTCAATGATCATGAAAAACTAAATTTTTTAAGGGCATTTTATATTCTTATAATGAAATTTAATGAAAAAAATCACAATAAATTTTAAGAAATACTGTACAGTATCAATAAATGAATGAGTTTTCAGGAATGGAATCTTTTCATAAATCACAGAGATGCCCGTTCATCAGAGTCTTTGCCTTTGTGGAAGATTTCAAGCAAAGTGTTCACCCAAACTTTGAAGCTCTCCTCTACAACATACTGTATATGGTACAGTAAACCCTCGAAGATCCGGACCGGGAAAATCTGGATTTCTGAAGATCCTGACAAAAAATTGGGGGGTTCTGGGCTAAGAAGCCTCCTAGAAGTTTCCCTAAGAAACATTCCCAAACCTGAGCAAAGAACAATTTAGGCCTGTGGGCGCTGCTTGACCCGTCAGTCGCTTGGACACAGGTGGCCAAGGAGGTGGGAAACACAGAGTTGACAATTGTTGTTTGTGGGAATATTATTTCATTCACTCTTGTAATGATACAATGTTTCTTTTTATGTTATCATAGGTAAATGCATGGTTTATAAATGGTAATTTTTTTATCACTACATTAGTACTGTATTTTTGGTGTTTCTTATATCATTTATTATACGCAGGAAAATTCGGACAATCGGCTTTTCTGGCCATGTGATCCTCCCTTTTAGTCCGGATCTTCGAGGGTTCACTGTATAGTTTTTAATTTATTTAATGTTTTTCCCTGAAGCAAAATTAAAATTTCCCATGTTCATGTGCTTCCTTATCGTTACTGTACTAATGAAATTACCTTAAAGTGCTGGTGTGTTTGAGGAGGAAGACTTCCAACCTGCACTCTATGGTTATGGGGTGTGTTCTGAAGTCTCTGAAGTGCGGGCAGGAGGAATGATGAGGGAAGTAGAAGAGGAACTGCAGCGGGCAGTAAAAGCTACCAGGAATCGGCAAGGTGAACCATGGGACCCTAAGATGCAGAAGCAGGTTAGTGTGACAATGTGATAAGATTGGCCTGCCCATTACAAGTAATTTCCAAATTTTTAGCAGTAAAAAATGCACTTCAGATTATACAGTACCGTAGTACTATAGTTTAGTGTTTTGTGTATTAGAATACAGTACATTAAGTCCTCGCTTAACGTAGTGGTTCCGTTCCTGAAAACCGCGACGTTAACGGAATCAATTTTCCCCATAAGAAATAGATAAAATACCGGGAGTTACGTTTCCCAGCCTCCCTTTGTCCCATAAAATACATTACATATATACATAAATTCAATGGAATTTTTATAGAGAATAGTATACAGTAAAGCCTTGAATGACGACGTTAATGTGTCGTCCAATATTGCAGTGTAAGGTCAATCGTCTTATCCCGAATCATTAATTACCATTAAAATAAAGCAATAATAATGAGATGCGTTCCCAAGTGTGACCTTTCCATATCTTGTGTGGCTTTTTACCCTCTTTTCCCCCCAAAAAATACAATTAATGAAAAGTGCAAACTATATTCTTTAAACAATGTTTCTGAATGCACCTTATACAATATAAATGAATAATAATATGGTCACACTAGAGGAGATGGGATGCCATTGTTTTCGTTTGTGTTTACAGCCGGGAGTCCGGGACGGTAGTTCTACATGAGAAAATGAAGAAAATAAGACCCTGGTTGTAGCTGTAGTAAATTTAATGTAAAAAAATTAATCTATATGTTATAAGTAACGTTATTTAATGTTAATAAATGGAACAATCGAAGTAGCTAACCACTAATGGTAAAGAAAAAAAAGAGATGGGTTGGGAATGCCAACAAACACGTGCGCATTTAAAGATACTGCATCAAAAGATTCATTATTGTTTATTACTGATTATGTATTTGATCGAATTAATGGATATATATGCAAAATGAACAATACAATTCATAAATACGTAGAATATTAAAACACACAAGAGGATAAGAGACGACAGTGTTGTCAGTGTTTACGTGTGCACTCAAGGAAACAGTCATTTATCTTAAGAATATGTACAAAGATTCATTATTGTTTATTACTGAATATGTATTTGATTGAATTAATGTTTATACTGTATATGTGAAATGAACAATGCAATTCATTAATAATACGTAGAATATTAAAACACACACGAGGAGACAAGACGGCATTGTTTTCGTGAGTGACGATCGTTCTACATAAGAAACTGAAGAAAACAAGACCCTGGTTGTAGCTGTACCTGTATGTATGTTTTAAGTAATGTTATTTAATGTTAATAGATGGAACACTAGGAGTAGCTAACCGCTAATGGTAAAGAAATAGGCGTCAATGTATGAACAGTAAGTACGTACATGTGAAAACATATTGTCATTTCTCAACATATGAATATGAAAGCAACTTTTATTTACTGTTCATATATGTTTTAAATAATATTTACGAATGTAAAACTAAAATTTTATTCACCAATGGTGGTAAAGTCTAAAACATAAGGACAGCCAATGAATACAAGTATTGTGTGAGTGTTTACTCAGATGACGAAGTCATCAGGTTCAACTCTGGCTGAAGCTGTAGCTTTCCATAAAGCTGTTGCTAAAACTGTTACTGAACCTGAAGTTGATGTCGAAGCTGCTTATGGTGCTGAATTTGATGGTGTAGCTGAAGTTGATGGTTTAGGCCTCTGAATAATAAAGCTGTCAAAAGAACCTTGCACAGCCGCTTTCTTTTCTCATTACACATCTTTATGTAGAGGTTATTTGTGTATTTTATGTCCCTGTTAATTTTAATGCTTCATTCCGTTAATGGATCCACTTCAGAAAATATGTTCATTGCTTGCTCCATATAATATCCACAGACCTCTCGCCTTTTTCATATCGTTTTAACACATCTTGTTTCTCGGCTAAGCTCAGACACTTTCTATTAGCTTTTGAACCAGCACTACCATCACTTGCTCTCTTGCTCATGTTGAATAGGGACGCAAAAATGTCGTAAGAAACCTGAGAAAGTTTTTCTCCCTGTTCCTGCTCAGATGCGTGAAACAAAAGGCCCGCCAAGCGCTGACTGTTGTTTACCACTCATCAGCAAGTTTGTTAATCGAAACCATTGTTTCAATAGGTTTTTGGGTAATTGGTTCCAGCTCACCGAAAATTTCTAAATTCAACAAAAATGGTAGAAAAGTTCACTTACTTTGAGGTGTGTATGTAGAAGGCTCCTGGGTGATGATGATGATGATGGGGGGATTTAGAATGGGGGTGGAGGAGAAGGAAGAAGAGAAGGCATTGGGGTGGAAGAGAAGTCACCCCATGGCGCCATTTCACCCATAAAATTTTTGCTCTCTTGGTGTAATTCAAGATTATTTTCTTTAAATCAACACTGCACTGCATTATATATTGTCAATATGTAAAATATATTTCAAAATGACCAATAATTTGCTTGGAAACACAGAAAAAAGCGTTTAGTTGAAGAGAGTCTCAAGCAAGATGTTACCTCCAATGAAAACACAGAGAGACTAACGCCTGTTTGCTGTGTTAAGAGGCTGGATGCCGCGCATTAAACTAATCACTTTACCTTCAATTATGTTCAATAATTGTTAAAATGACTAAAAAATTGAATATTAAACTTTTAAATTATTGAATAGTATAAACTTCTTGATATTTACTAAAATAGTAAGGAATTTAAGCCCTAGAACCGATTAATGTATTGGCGGACTGATACTAAAGCTGGTTGCCCTGTCAGTGCAAGCAAAAACATGTTGAGGTCGGTTCGTAAGAAATTCGTTAACCGAATTTTTGTTCATTAACCGAATTGAAGATCCTTATGGAAGGCAGTTCGTTAACCGAAATTTCGTTAACCGAGGCGTTCGTTAAACGAGGGGTCACTATATATATATATATATATATATATATATACATATACATATATATATATATATATATATATATATATATATATATATATATATATATATATATATATATATATATATATATATATATATATATATATATATATATATATATATATATATATATATATATATATATATATATATATATATATATATATATTTATATATATAATTATTTTGGTCGTAAATACGAATGAAATATGGATGTAAACTGAATTGGGTCCTAAATTATCTAGGGTTTCAAATATGAAAAGTTGATGGACGAATCGTTGTTATCCGAGGCTTTACTGTATATATAATTAAATTAAATCATTTTGTAATGTACTCACTGATGGGCGGAGGTGGAGTAAGTGTATGGTGGGTAGTGGAGAGGAGGAGGGTGGCGAGTCACTGAGACCCAGAGGGTGGCCCCTCCTCCCGCTCTGACTGGGTGAGAGAGGGTGATGTGCCGTACAAAGTAGTCCGTGACGACGTTATACCGAATCGGTGGGACGTTGTCCGAATCATGGGTATCTAAAGGGTAGCGACCTTATAATGAAACAACGTTGTCGGCGGCAACGTTAAACGAGCACTTACTGTATTTTCTTAATTTTTTAACCTATGTGTAATTTATCTAATGGCCACCCTTAGGGAGGAGGCCTACAGGAATGACACGCCAAAATTATAGGCGACAATTGGAATTACTTGGATTTTTTTTCTCCTTATGTGACACAAATATGAGTTAGTTCTAATTGGATGAGATTATGATGGACTCAAAATTGCAACATAATACATAAGAGTTGTAAGGAGTTCTCATAGAATTCATTTGAAATAATTTCTGTGAAAAGGATCTTTATTTTAGCTCATGGAGCAGCATAACAAGTAGCTGTGTCTAAATACAGTGAGCTTGTGTTGTGGGTCATATGCTCGACTATAACAAAAGGTTACTTTATAATCAATATTCTGTTCTTTCTCAGCATGAAGATGCAGTCGCTCTCTTCTCAAGAATTCGTTTCATGCGCCTTTTTTATGCTGCATTGGCAGCCATCATGAGAAGAGAACAGGTGTCTATTCCAGAGGCAGAGAGGTGTCTTGTTTCTTGCAATGAGTTGGTGTGCATCATGCAGAACACTATAGGTCGGGGGTTAAGACCCAAGCAACCTAAGGATGAAGAAGGAAACAAAGGTACAGTTCAGTTATTATCATGTTGTGTTTCATATCTGCTGTAAGTACTGTTCTATTTTACTTGCCATTGATCATCGCTGTTGTTGTAAAAATATTCATACATGATGAATTATTTATTATAATGACCAAACTTTACATAGAAGTACAGTAAAGTATCTTAATAGAGGTACAGTAAAGTATCTTACATGGAAGTACAGTACCATATACTAGTAAAATATCTGTCGATAAAAAGTCTACTTGTTGTACTAATCTATTTCATTTGAGCATTATAAATTACCATTCTGTCATCATTAACACTTGAGCTCAAATGGACCAGTGTGACATCCTAAACCCCTGCTGCTATGTCACTAACGCTTGACCCGTGACCAACACTGGGTCAGGGAATCACTCTTCAAGGAGTCTTGGGTCCAGCTTGATATCCTCTGCATTCTTTGTTTAAGGATTTATATTATGTCCTAAAAGTTCCCTCAAACAAGCACAAAAGTGCTAAGTTTAAAAATAGAGGTGGAAATTCTAAAAAAAAATAGACCAAGGTTGGTTTCCAGGCACTTCCAGTTCACCCAGGTTTAAATGGGTACCTAAGTTTTCAACTCGAGGAAGTGAAGGTGGTCGAGAGCAGCATCAACCATACTACCTCCTTTTGTAATGAAGGCTTAGTATACAGTGTGCTGTATCCAAACCAATCCTAATTAACAGCCATGTCTATGAGACCACACTTTCACTCTTCAATATTATAACCAAGCTGATACAAATAGTCTGGTTTATTATATGCTTTCCTCAGACAGATGTTCATGATAGTATTGACTTTACACAATTATCCACTTTAAGGAATCCTCTTAATGCTGAATTTTTCTGTTGACATATTTTACTGTACTGTACTATGCTGTACATCTTGTATCACTTGATATGATTATAGTGTTTAGCAGAAGCTTGATAGTAATTTAAACCTTTTATGATACAGTGGACTATCCAGTGATTATGGGCTTTGAACCTCTAGTCAACCAGCGACTCCTACCTCCAACATTCCCACGTTACACCAGACTTCGAACTCGTAAGGAAGCGATGAATTACCTCGAGGAGATGGTGGGACGCCTGCGCCACATCACAAAAATCACACACTGCACAACCTTTCACACTGCATTGGTTTGTTTCCTTTTCTTTTCTTTTTTAATTCAATTTAGAACAGTATATACTATATAGGCAGATTCGTGGTGCACAATTACTGTAGTAATGTTAATAAGTGATGGGAAATCCTCTTGGTATCAAGTATTTCAGATTCCTCATTCTCTAAGTGGACAAAACCATTGTTTATTCTTGTTAGTTAATGTTTGGGGTCAAAATTCCTTTAACTGGAGTGCATCTAACTTTACACCATCAGATTTTAGGTAAAAAAACAAAAACAGGCTGGAACATATCTCAACTTTTAACATGGGAGCCTATGGGAAAATGGGTTCCATTGAATGAAAATTCACCCTATGAGCACTTTTCAAAAACACATAACACTCGGTAAGCGAGAACTTACTGTTTTGTGTAAACATTGGAGAGTTTGTTAGCCTCTGATGCCTGCTGACTGAACATGGTCAACTTTGCTCAATTTCTAGACATTCATTAGGTGTGTATTGTGGATAGTTATTTATGTGTTATCAGCAGGTGAGAAAAGTGCATATAATGTTACAACACCCCCCTCCCCCCCGAAAAAAAAATGTGGTAACTGACATTTGCTGCATTTAATATGTAAGTAATTGAAAGTCTATTGTAATTTTAATTTGGTCACTTATATGATTGTATATTCCTACAGGAATTCATCGAGCATTTCTCCGAAAGTCGACCTTGTGTCTTGTCAAGATCGTTAGCACAAGTCCTGTATCTCGGTGGTGACAAACTGTGGGGTGGCCAAGGAATGGCAGAAGCACTACGGGAAGCTGCAAGGAGCTTCATCTGTCCCCCAGCTCTTTTACCAAAGGCTCCAGTTATGAGTAATGTTCAGGTATGTTGAGTACGGTGATGTGAAATACTAGTAAATCATATTTTATTGATTTCATCACCATCTTCATCATTCTATGGTCATTTTCCACACATCCATATCCTAGCAGTACATGTAATTACCTGATGGCAGCTCCCCAAGCTGCACAGTCTCTTTCTTCAGATTTTTATCACAGCTAATTTCTGATAATCTCTCCCCCGTCTCTCCTCCCTCTTATATTTAAGTTTATGCTTCTCTTTTGTCAATCTCCTCCATTCTCCCCACATGCTTAAATCATGTCATCCTACTTCTCATGAAACTTCGTCAATACCCAACCACCTTATTAGTTATGAACTAGTTTTCCTGTCTCAGTGTCAGATGATTACACATCCACCTCACCATTGTAATTTCATGCAGTTCAATTCTACATATGTCACCCTCTCTAAATGCCCAGGTTTCACTCCCATGCACCATCATACATCTTTTACCAGTTGCATTCGCTTTTTTTTTCAAGCAGAGAGAAGTTTCTCTCACTGTCAATTACAAAAACTTCTTCCAGCCACATCTGACTCATACAACTGAGCTAGCTTGATCACCACCTCCAGCACTGATCATGTCACCCATGTTGCAGAACTCTTCAGTACAGTTCAGGAATATTTCCCCCAATGTATTTGTTTGATTTATTAATCATTTAAAATGGGCACTCTTCATTTCAGATGGGATTTGGTACTCTAGGTTGTTTACACTTTGTTATGGCTGGGTTTAATTCTTGTGGGTTTTTTTCAGCTTGGTTCTGATAAAGGGGTTTATTCCTTGCTCTGGTTGGGTTGGGGAATGGTGACCAAAGCTGTTGCTTGAGTTCATGATTGTTATGATTGGAATCTTGTGGTGAATGCCATTCAAAGCTTCTGTGTTGTTCATGTTTCTAAGAGAGGTATGTCTTTGATAGCTATAGGATAATGTTCCCTTTTGAGTGTTAATTTTTTCTACCAAAACATTATTCAGGCCTTTGAATATTTGGGGATTCATGTCCTCCAGTATCTGGTTGTTTGGCCAGGTTTAAGAAAGTGAAGTTCAAAGTGGGCACTGCATTGCCTTGGCACTTACTCTACCCTCATGGAAGAGCAGTGGCATTTGGGTTAGTTAAGAAGGCTATGGATATCCCAGCTATTTGTTCCATTTTGAAGGATTCTAGACTCTGCTCCAGTGAGCCATCAAAGTTTTGTATAAAGATTTACAATGGAAAATGAGAAGCCCTCCTGAATACACTGCTGACCTGGGAAGACTCTTGACATTTGCAGGAAGTATGTGGCTGAAATGTTGTGCAAGAATTTGATCTGGTATCATTCAACTCAATTCCAGAGTGTCAATTGCTAAATTAGTGGGTTGTTGACCTGTTCTTGACCTTTGAATGGCTGAACAAACCTAGTCGCCTGTCAATTTCAGACAATAATTGACTTGGCACTCATTTTTCTTCTCAGTTTATAAATAAAATTTTTACCACACATAGACTTTATTATATGTTATATAGTACAGTACTACAGAGTATTATTCATGTGCTCATACCTGTACTTAAGTATCATGTAATTATTTATTCCAGGCAAAAGATTATGTAGATTCCTTCTTCAATCGCTGTGTACGACCATTTGAGCAGCTGATCCAGACGTGTGGACACAACCGAGCACGTCAACGAGACAAGGTGGCCCATCTGTTGGAAGAATTTGCTATGTTGCAAGATGAAGTAAGTAAAAAAAAATTTAAATTGGTCTCTATCTGGGAGTGATAGTTGTAGAGAATATGGAACATAACATAAATTAACTAAACCTAACCTTAACCAAAACATAAGAGTTGTTTGTTTAGTAGTGTCTGCCATCTAGCATAAACAAATATGGCATCCATCATTGTTGAGCCTAGCCAATGAAGTGTTTCTATGTAAATTTCAGAAACACAAGTATTAGACTGAAAACACAAAAATTGGTGAAATTAATTTTCAATGCTACACTTAATAATCCTCCTCTTAATACCCACCTGAGACACTCCTGGTAATAGCTTCTGATGGATGTAAAAACCACCTACAGGAGTCGACCATAATCTGTGTACAGTACTTCTCAATTTATTGGTTACTGTCTGTATGTTCAGTCTATTTCAAACAAATTACTTTATCTTCTCTCCAGGCAGATAAAGTGGATGCCTACCTGCACAATGTATTGCTGAAGAGTGACCAGCCAAGGCCACATCTGGCATACCTAGGAACCTGGGTTCTTTATCACACACTGAGGCTCATGATCAAGTACCTGCTTACAGGGTTTACATTGGAGCTGTATGCAGTACATGAGTACCATTATGTCTATTGGTTAGTACTGTACTATGTATCTCGTGTATCTCTTTGTACATACTTGGAAATATGATATGTACTGAATATATAGAATTTAACACTTACCAGAGATCCCAGAGGAAATTTTTTGTAGAGGCTGGTTTAATTAGTGACTGGAGTACAGTATATGTATTTTTTTTTATGTGGTTTATTTTGCAAAATTCCCAGCATGCATGCCGGTAATTTTGCGAAATAACTTACAAGCAGGCTAACCAAAGTTAATAAAAAGAACATTATCAATCTACACGAGCCATCCAAACCTAACCTAACCTCTCACTTCACCTAACCATAAGGTTAGCTTAGGTTAGTTTAGGTTGTCTGTTTGTAAGTTATTTCGCAAAATTACCAGCATGCATGCTCGGAATTTTGCAAAATATTGATTTTGTAAAAGAAAAACACGTAACATATACGAATTAAAAAACAAACAAGAAACTTTAATTTGAAATATGAAAATTTAAATGCTGTGAATTTAATCCTTAATATGTATGCAGTAGTCAAGCAAAATGATATGATTAGGAATGACATAATTAGAGGATTGACTGTTTTTAGTGGAAATAACCTCCAAGTACTGCAGTTGCTTGTAAAGTTATTTTCCCCTAGTAACTTTGTGGTACAGTACTGTGCTACAAACAGCTTGCTTGTGTTTAAGAAAAGATTTTCCCCTTTTCAGGTATCTTTATGAATTTGTATACGTGTGGCTGGTGAGTGCACTTTCCAGGGCAGATGCAATGCTTCTAGAACAAGATGGCTATGACACTAACAAGGGGGGCAAAAGTGGACGATCATCAAAAAACAAAAACAGAAACAAAAAGAAACATCGTCCATATGGAAAGGAGATAACTTACAATCAGGCTCTTCAACATTTATGTGGAGGATATTACAAGGTAAGTAATAAGGTCATTGATAATTTAGTTTCAGAATAAACCATTAGTGAACCCCTTATGCCTTAACCAGCATTTAGCAACACCGCCCTGTATTTTTTCTAGGAACGCTCATACAATTTATTTAATTTTTTTAGGAAAATTTGAAGATTTTTTTTTTTTTTTTTTTTAGCCAGATAAACGAATATTTTAGGCTTACAAGACTGCAGGAAAAATAAAACACTTAAGGAATTACTGTTTTGAAGTATTGAGAGTTCAGGTTTTAGCATTTGTCATTTGTGTATTGTAGTATAGGTTGTACCTCTCTAGTCCGTCAACCTCGGAAACTGACCGGTGCCGGACCATGGAAATTCACCCTTTTCCTGGATAGATAGTAACTTGTGCTTACGCTTGGAAGCACTAGCTCCACTTTCTCTGCTTCATGGTCTCTTTGAAGACATATTGAAGCGTTAAATGTCGTACAGTAGCTTCTCAAATTTCACGAGTTTTTAATTCGACGTTTTCTATTTGAACACAATTAAAAATTTTGACGGCGGAAACTCAAATTTCGACGGGTTTGAACGGCCCACCAACGTTCAGACGACGTGCACAATCGTGTAAACAGCGTCATTTCTCTTATATACAAAGGATTCATTATTTTTTATCACTGAAAGTCTTTAAGATTGAATTAATGTTTATATGTGCAAAATGAGCAATACAATTCATTAATAATACGTAGAATATTAAAACACGAGGAAATGAGACAGCATTGTTTTCGTTGATTAAAAACCAGTGACTGATTGGTTCTACATATAAAACTGAAGAAAATAAGACCCTGATTGTAGCTGTAGTAAAATTAATGTAAAAAAAATAATATGGTTGTTTGAAGTAATGTTATTTAATGTTAATAAATGGAACAATATAAGTAGCTAACCATTAATGGTAAAAAAAAAGTGAGACTGCGCGTATGTAAGTGCGCACATGTGAAAACATATCGTCATTACTCTACATAAGAATATGAAAGCAACACTTATTTACTGCTCATATATATTGAAGGGTTAAATGTTGTACTCTGTATAGACAAGCAGAGAGAGAGCAGCCGAACTGCCGGATGTAAACAAACCTTAATTTCCCGCGGCATTGTTGTTGTTTTTATTTTACGGGGATTAGCCCACCTGGGCTTAGGTCACTGACCCACATTGGGGCCTGAGGGGCAAAAACTTAATACTCCTGTAATAATAATAATAATAATTCAGATAAGTTTATAAAAAAAAAGAAAAAAAAAAGAAAAAAAGCTGCCTATCTACCTATTGAACAAACTAAAATCGTTTTGGACCACAGAATGCCGGACTAGAGAGGTACAACCTGTACACAGTACAGCTGCTCCCCGATTTACGACAGGGTTAGGGACCGACATCCAGGTCTTAAGTTGGAAATGCTTAAATAACACATAGAAAATAAAAAATGGGTGTCTCTTTTTCTTCTCAGCACCACAAAACTCTCCTTTTAAGCTTGCTTGCCAGCCATTTTAAAGTGATTTACAGATTAAAATTTTGTCTGTGTACTGACTTTGGGACTCGAAAATACGTAATTTGACCAAATTTTGGTACGACTGAGGCAGGTCGTGGTTGTGGGTGGACGTAAATCGAGTAGGTCATAAGTCGGGAAGGAGCTGTACAGATATTTTAAATATTTGATAGTAACAATGTCTTCTTCAAGTAAGGTTCATTAAATATGGAAGAGTGTTGTTTAATTTACATTACTGTACTACTGTCATGTTACTATTTTACTGTCATATAAAGGGTGCAATATAAGGTTGATTTTTTTTCCGTTCACAGGCGATGTTAGGTTTGAGAGAGGCTGGGAAAGTAAAGCTGCCTCTTCAAGAATTTGACAGTGAACAAGTTCGTTATGAACATCGCTTCCTGCCATTCAGTGTAGTGATGACTCCTCCTCCTGTGCACTATGATCAGTTCCTCTCCATGACTGACCTGTCCAACTTCCCTCAAGTAAGTATAAGTGTTTGAGAGTAATACACAATGCATTGTGTAGAGTAAACATATAATTTGTTAAAAAGTGTTTTATAATTATGGAATTAGTGTTGAGGTGAGAAAAAGTGGTATCTTAGAATAGTTTACTTTATTCTATTCCTTGCTGGTCATTTGTCTAACGTAGCTACAGGCTGTACAGTATGGGAGTGTATCAAGTAGTTTTCATTAAATAATTTTTTTAATATTTGATAAATTAATACCATATTATTTCTTCAACTGGTTGAATATATACTGTAGTGTAATAATGTGTTTACTCATACAGTACCCAAATCAACCCCATATAACTGTATCCTGTTTTTACATAAGTGCAATAAGTGAAGGAACATATCTCCATATATATACAGTAATGGTATAATGACCCATTTTAGTGCTGATTCAATTAGCTCTCTCTTCAAAGAACATAACCCCAGTGAGAAAGAGAGAGGAAAGGAAATTTGATTGTATTTAAGATACAAGGATAATATTTTTTGAGTAACTAGCAATTTTTCTCTCCAGCCGGTGTCACCAGCTACACTCTACCATGATGCGAGAAATCACTTCTTCAAAGCTCGCTCTCTCCTGGAAACTATACATGCTCACAATACTGAGGTATATAGTTTTATTCTTTTTCATTAATATGAACAAATTAATTACAAGTTAGAATATTAAATTTTCTCTATCTTTTGTGCAGGCAGTTTGTACATGCCAACAAATGTACAGCTGATTTGTGTTAAAATTACAATTATTTTTGTATATTATTCCGTGATACCTTTCCCTCATTGACATGACTATTACAGTATATGTGTAATTGTTGGTTTGATATTGACTGCTTACAGGAACTCTGTGTAATCACCCTGTCTCTGTCAGACAAAATTTCCATAGTTTATTGTGACTAGCATAACTTATCAACAATTTGATAAGTATCATACACTGTAGTGGAGCCTGCTGCATTTTCTCTTCTTGTGTACGTGTAATCTTATAGTCATGGGATGTAACAACCCCACCACCTGCCCCTGGCACAATTAGCTATGGCGAGCATGAGGACTGTAGTCCCCACCCTTCACAAAAGGAAACAAGAACACAGAAACTTGTTTTACTGTGTGTTGATGTAAGGAGAATGTTAAAAATTATAAAATTAATGATTAATGGAAAGAACCTAGTTTTTGTGGTTTTGAGAAAGCAAACTTCTAGGGTCAAGGATATAGCATATGGATCAAAGCATACAGTACTGTTTGTGTTTATGTTGATCAACAAAACTCTCAAGCCTTCTCCCTTTATATGGCTCCTTTTTATCAAGTGGTGGTCTTTTGGAGCTTGATTTCAAAATACAGTACAGTTGTACCCCACTTAACGCGGTCAATAGAACCCACAGGGTACCGCGTTAAGTGAAAACCGCGTTAAGTGAACAACAGAACATATGGGATTAATTCCAATAGAGACTGGCCAGACCCCCAAACTCCACTTTTTGACGACACACAACTACCGGTATGTTGTAGTAAAAATATTATCTTAAACTTTATGATGGTATGCACACAATTAATAATTAAGAGAAATATCAATAATATTAGGTTTTTTAACACTTACATTAGTAGAAAAGATGGCTGGGCACACGGGGATGGGGGGTTGGTTCCGAGGCAGAGGGCAGATTGTATTATTGGCCCTCACCTGTATCACTTGTATCAATTGTATCACTATCCACCACAGAGGCTTGCAGGGCCTCTTTGTCAAACCCCTCAAAGTCCATATAAGTCCATATCCTCACTATAATTATCACTATCACTGACTTGGGCCGGCTGTGGCGGGTGAAGAACTCGGTAATGTTTTGATGACTGGGCGACCTTGTGCGCATCGTGCCCGTGCCGCTTCCCGCGTATATGAGTAGATGAACCGCGTTAAGTGAAAGTTCAGTTCTGGCGAGGCACCGCGTATATGAGAAATCGCGTTAAGTGAAACCGCGTTAAGCGGGGTATAACTGTACTGTATATGATAATCTAATTTTATAATTTATTCAATTTTACATCCCAGTCACACAAGTCAAGGTCTTGGGGCCACGGGTTTTGACTGTAGTCTTGCTGGCTATACAGGGTTGTGCGATCCTGACTTTGTTATAAAATAGGATTTCAGGATCAATTTTCCATTTTTCTGTGTAGAAAGTGACCAGCTCAAAGGGTCCCCCAGGTGTGTTGACAGCTTATCAATCTGATCTCTTGGGCCCAAGTTCCTCATTGTTTGAAAGAATAAATGACTGTGACTGAGGAAGACTGTTGTTCTTGACTTTGGCCACCAGTTGCTGAAGCAGAAAGAGGCTTTTGAGAGTAAAATAAAATTACATTGTGGAGTTACATTGCTAATTTCTCACTCTTCTTGACTAATAATACTGTACTGGAGTCATATTTTTTTTTTTCAATTATTTCAACATAAAATATATTGAGTGCTTCAAAGTTGTAGTTCTTTAAATTTGTCGGATGACACTGAAATATTATATCATATAAAAACTATTGATATCTTTGAAACAGGTTCAGCAGCTGTTAAAAGTTGTTAAAACCAACTTTGTTGTTATGAAACTCCTGGAGGGTGGACACAAGGCTGATGACCCCACTCGACCCCAGTTTGACTTCACGACCCATCCATGCTTTCCAATTATCAAGATTTAGCAGAAGGTTGTGAGGAAGAGACCCCCGAAGGATCTCCTCCCAATACACGAGCTTGAAGAAGTTAGATAAACTGGGTAAATAATTATCAGTAAAACACATAGATTAGCACTAATTATAAATGTCTGCCACTAATTTATAAGTCATGGGCATTAGAAGATTGTCCAAGAATCTTGAGTGCATATATATCATGAAGTGCATTATGAGTGTGATACAATGACATTATTATTTATTAATAATGTGCAGAAAGACTGGGAAATTGTAAATGAGTCCAGGTTGTATATGATAGTGGACAGTAGTGCATTTCCATGACCAAATAGTCAGTTTTTTCAAGTCCTCCCGGAAGAGTGACAAGTAATTGTAAGAGTATGTTTAGATCTGATTTTTTGATACAGTACAGTACATTAATTTTTTTTTTATGTTTTCTAAAATGAAAAACTCTTTGGTTGATTGGTTGATACTTAAGCTATAGTACAAATTAATTGATAATTGCACAAAAAAATAAGGAATAAAATTGATAAACAGGAATTTGGGTGCAGTTGTGGGTTAATTAGTAGAAGAAGACAGTGAAAATACTAGTGTAAGAAATTATTTTTTGTTAATTTTTTTTGAAATGACTTTTATGAATTTAAGATGACGAGCTTACCTGGCTAAACTGCCTATAGTACACACACACACACACACACACACACACACACACACACATATATATATATATATATATATATATATATATATATATATATATATATATATATATATATATATATATATATATATATATATATATATATATATATATATATATATATATATATATATATATATATATATATATATATATATATATATATACAGTGACCCCTCGTTTAACGAACACCTCGGTTAACGTAATTTCGATTAACGAACTGCCTTCCATAAGGATCTTCTATTCGGTTAACGAAAAAAAATTCGGTTAACGAAGTTCTTACGAACCGACCTCAACATGTTTTCGCTTGCACTGACCGGGCAACCAGCTTTAGTATCAGTCTGCCAATACATTAATCGGTTCTAGGGCTTAAATTCCTTACTATTTTAGTAAATATCAAGAAGTTTATACTATTCAATAATTTTAAAAGTTTAATATTCAATTTTTTAGTCATTTTAACAATTATTGAACATAACTGAAGGTAAAGTGACTAGTTTAATGCGCGGCATCCAGCCTCTTAACACAGCAAACAGGAGTTAGTCTCTCTCTGTTTTCACTGGAGGTAACATCTTGCTTGAGACTCTCTTCAACTAAACGCTTTTTTTCTGTGTTTCCAAGCAAATTATTGGTCATTTTGAAATATATTTTACATATTGACAATATATAATGCAGTGCAGTGTTGATTTAAAGAAAATAATCTTGAATTACACCAAGAGAGCTAAAATTTTATGGGTGAAATGGCGCCATGGGGTGACTTCTCTTCCACCCCAATGCCTTCTCTTTTTCCTTCTCCTCCACCCCCATTCTAAATCCCATCATCATCATCATCATCATCATCCAGGAGCCTTCTACATACACACCTCAAAGTAAGTGAACTTTTCTACCATTTTTGTTGAATTTAGGAAATTTTCGGTGAGCTGGAACCAATTACCCAAAAACCCATTGAAACAATGGTTTCGGTTTACGAACTTTTCGGTTAACGAACGACCTTCTGGAACGGATTGAGTTCGTTAACGGAGGGGTCACTGTATATATATATATATATATATAAAATCAACATTCAGGATCATTCATAAAGTTGTGTAGAACCACTAATATATTTAGGAATAATTGAAGAATACATCATTTTGACTAATCAGATTTTGAATTAATATTCAAAATAATCATTATACAGGGTACTGTATATTATACAGAACATAATTGGGTTAGTCTAACATGATGTAATGGATACAGGAGCAACACATTAATGGTGTGCTCCATACACCTAATTCTATACCATATCTTATCCAGTCTACCTCTCTCCCTTTTAAATTCATGCTGAAAAAGTAAAGAAGACAACTACTGTACATGAATTATAATGAGTATTGATTATGATAATTGATGTACTTGGTCAATAAATGGGAGGTTGAATTCCAAAATCCCATTTGAAGTCGACTGAAATTAAGTGAATGTGATCTAAAAGTACACATTCTTTATGATAAAGCTTAGCTTTGACACCTTGAGGTAGCAGTCAAATGATTTTTATTACAGTCATTTTGAGTTAGAAAATTGACGCTTTATGGGATGCCAAAAACATTAATTGAAAACTAAATATTTACATAAATTACACAGAAAACTTTCGATACAAAAAACTGTATAACTTGAACTTTATAAGTCTGTGCAGAGTGACTTAGAATTATTAGGTTAAGGTCTTCTGATGTACTGTATAACCCAGTGATTGGGACTAATCCCAAGCAGAATGTTGGAGGATACCCTACTTTTTGGATAGGACAAGAAAATTACTTAATTCACGAATAAAATGTTTATTTTATTGAATCCATTGTAGCTTATGTATTCAATTAAAATTCTCTGAAAAGATATGTCCCAATTATACTTTTTAGGGGGTGTGGGATGTGAAAATGGGAGATATGTAAGGCTGCGAGCATCCTGCGGCATCGAGCGACCAGGACGTGGATGCGCGACCTACTTTCCAAAACAACCTGTGTCCCACATGCCAGCGTCTTACCAACGTAAACTTGGCGTCTATGCAGCGCAGACGTTTTCTGGTACTTTTAGAAAATATAGTAATGCTTTTCAACAAGTGGTAACTGCAGAAGTACCCAGGAAAAAACATCCCATATATAGTACTGTATCAAAGGACAATGGAAGTAGGCAAATTTCACCATCTCTACAAGGAACTTAGCCAAGATCCAAAGAAGTTTCACGAGCACACTAGAATGTATCCTACTACATTTGACAATATACCTTAGACAGTAAAGTTATATTGCCTTCTTTAATTTTCTTGTGGAATGTGTAAAATAGTTTAATACCAAAACTATTATAGGAAATTTTTATTATTATTATTTTTTTTATATACAATAAAGGTTTGAAACCTACCTAAATTTTGCTTTGGAATGTGTAAAAAGCCTAATATTATTTATAGTAAGGTACTCTATTGTGACACTACCTAATTTTAAAATACCTGTAGTACCATACATCCTCTTGGTTTTCACAGTACAGTAACTTGAATTTTAGTCAAGGGCAAAAAATCGGGAATATTGAATATTATTTGTGTACATACACACCAGGGGTACTAAACATTTCTCTGCCTAATTTTATTCAATAGTTATGAGCACCTTGATATTTTTGGTAACAGGCCTAAGATTATAGTGGGATATTATCTTATAACTTGACCCTGACCTAATACAGTATAGTAAGTCCTCGTTTAATGTCGGGGTTACGTTCCTAAAATCGCGATGTTATACGAAACAGCGTTAAGCGGATCAATTTTCCCCAAAAGAAATAGATAAAATATGGGAGTTACGTTCCTGAGCCTCCCTTTGTCCCATAAAATACATTACATATACGGAAAATCATTGCCATTTCTATAGAAAATAGTGCATACATACACAACTACAAAGTTTGTATTGGTACTCACCGATGGGCAGAGGTGGTAGAGCGAGTGTGTGGTGGGTAGTGAGGCGGATGGCGAGAGGGGAGGAGTATGGCGGGAGAGGAGGAGGAGGGCGTAGCACGGCCAGACGAGAGAGGGTGATGCGCCGTAAAAAGTAGTCTGTGACGACGCAAAACGTCGTTGTACTGAGTCACCGGGACGTTAAACGAAATTTTGGTATCTAAAGATTAGCAACGTAGTACCGAAACAACGTTAAGCGGGCCGACGTTATATGAAGACTTACTGTACTGTACATATTTTTGTGAAAGAATTGGTGTATGAAATTTTTTTACTTACTGTTAATTTTCAAAGCAGTGGCAACATTCTCCCATTGTTTTGTCAAAGGTTTATCGATTTTGGTATTCCTTTTTCCAGGGGTCCCATAAAACAGGCCTCTGAAAGACTTCAGCAATCAAAGATAAAAGGAAATCCATGACCGTGGGTGGATGGCTGTTTGCTCCTGACGTGAGGATTCGTGCAACTGAGGAAGCAACAATAAAAATATTTGATTGCTGCTTCCAGGTCGCGTGTCTAGTTCCCTCTTCCTGGTCGCTCGCGAGTGCTTCATGCATTTATGTGGGACACATCAAAGAAAACATAAGTTTGTCCGCTACACCAAGGTGGTGCATTTAGTCGCGTGGACACTTGTTGCCGCAGGATGCTCGCACTTGGGACTTATTCTTAGTCTGAAATGTCATTCCTAGATTTTTCTGTGCTGATGCTCCCATATAAGTTGTTCAACATTGTGACTCCTACTCTGTTGCCGGTGTAGGAGATACCACCCAGCTCATACCCAAGAGCACTGATTGTCTCTTTAGCTGTCCTACAATTTGATTAACCATGATCAGACAGGAGTGTTCCCAGATTAATCTTAGCATGAATTATTCGGTATTGACCATATTGGGTCACTATATTCAACAGTTACAAGTTTGTTGTGATCATTAAAGAATTTGACTTGGTAAGCAAACTTTAGGTTGTAAATCTTCTCTTAGCTTCCATCAGATTATAATCTATAAACAAACTCACTCCTCAAATTTTTTTTGAAGTTTCTTAAATTAAAACAAAAAAGAACACATAACCTTCCAAAAGTATATATTTTATATGCAAGACTTTGCCCTGAGTGTCTGTTAGTTTTCCGTGATGTCACCATCTTAGCTTATATAAGCTTGATTCAAGGTGTAGGCACTGATCCATATACTGTAGTGTACCTGACAGCTAAAGGACTTTCATTTGGGATAGCCACAAATATGAGGTATTCTATGCTCCATGACAATGTCTGAACTATAGTTTGATAACCTGACCTTTGTAGAGAAACACAGATAGTGTGGCTGCTACCAGAATAAAAATAATCTTTATATAAATCATACACAATAATCACACATAGCATCTCAAAAATCAGTCGGTCAAAATCTAGTTTAGGCAGAATTGAATTGCTAACAGTTGTTGGTGGTACAGAACTGCCAAAGAAGTTGAATAGCTGGAATCTCCATTGACTGATACCATATATTCCTTGGTCCTTATGACAACTGTGATGTCCGTGAACAATCTTCAGGACCCAGCTATGTTTTGGAAGATGATTGCATGTAACAAAATCTGACTACTGTCTCAATGTGTCCTGTCGAGTAATGTCAAGGTACGTTACAAAAAAGTAGAGTCATTACATTGACTATTTTGGCTTTCAGTTACCATGTGGAAATAACTTTGACTTGAAGAATCACTTGGGTACTTGCAGCATATCATTTATATTAAACATTTTTGTAAAACTCATTGATAACCACTCAACCTTTACCCCTTTTACTACTTGAATAAATGTTTGATCACTAATTGCATTGTCCAGCATTATTACTGCTCAGATAAATTCTTAGTTGCTATTTTTTTATCACATTTTTATCCTCATGATTTATCACTGAGCATTGAGTATCAAAATGCAGGATCTTGGACAGTGTATGAGTAGCCGGGTCCAATGTAATTAAGATCTCTATGTGTATACTGTATTGTATAACCAAGGTAAACCATCTAGCAGGTGTTTTAAGATAAGACATGAAAATCTGTTAATGATATTCTTGAGTTAAATTATTGATGAACCATAATTCATTCACTAAGTACCATACTATACTGTACTGTAATATGTTTTCCTGGTGAAAAGTCTTACATTGATACATATTTTTGTTTAAATTGTTGTTATGGTTTGTTCGATTTAGTGACTATGATCATAGATCTAACAAATGGGAAATGTAATATATAATTTGGTTATCTAAATGCTTAGATCTAATATTTGGGTAATATAGTTGTTATGCTAGGTCACATTAAGGCATGAACCTCATACATTATGTTCAGGGTATGTATGTGGTAGTTTTGAGAATAATCGTCCAGTTTGGATCGGGCTTATCTTTGGTATCACTTACTAGAAGTTGTGTTTATTACCACATCAGCCTCAGCTGAATTGTTTGAAAAACTTGTGTCAAGGTACTTCTCTGGGAATAGGACATTGTGCAAGATGGAACAGAGCTTTGCAGACCAAATGGATGGTAATGCCTTTTGTAAACTTTGCTAGTTTGTAGTGTTTGTAAACTCATTTCATAATCCACTACTTGCCTTAGGCAGGTTTTGTAAATCTGTGAAATTATAGTATCTATTTTATAATTGACACATCTAACTATACAGTATAGTTGCTTTGAATAGGTAGGCTGGTGTAGAGAGTCTTCATTATTACAGTATGTAGTTGATAGTAATACCGGTAAATTTTATTTTCAGATTTATAATTGGTTTCATTTTATTTAGAATTACCTCTGTGCCTCAGTAATGGTAGTTTGCTTTTCCTTTTATTTTGGTGATTTTCAAATTTGCAAAGTGTCCCATTCTCTGTGATATGACTTTCTTGGAGATTTGCTTATATTTAAAGCCTTGAAAAGCTGTATATATTACAGTAGGCCACACCATGAAGATTTTGATACATTTGTAGAATTTTCAATTAGATAAATGGATTAAAATGTAGCAGTAATAGATAGAAGAAGAATGTGTACTCCGACTGGCATACAAGTTTTGCCTCTGCCAGTAGATACGGTAGTAGAACCAGTGTTATATTGACACAAGGAGAATTGCTTTGTATAAAATAGTTGCCTTGGTGTAAGAGGTACTCGTAGCATGCTGCATTCATGGCGTTTCCCCAGATTGGATGATGGGGTAGCAAAATTGGATCATGGGTGCGAAGTGAATATAGCATAGTGTTGTCACCATGGTATTTGAATAGCTGGTCATTCATCATACAGAGGCTTTTTCAGAAGGTGACCTGTCCTTGTCTGTAGGAGGTCTCATCAGCTTTAGTTGGATATCATGGTCACATATTGTGTGGACAATAGAGCCAGAGTATAGTCTATACATAAAGAAAGCTCTACTCTGGAGGTATTGTTTGTAGAACCGAGTACTTCTTAAGTTCACGACCAAGTAGCTAATGTGAAAAACATTTGTAGGCGATTACAGTAATTTGAGAGGAGTCAGAAAGTAAATACTACAGAATATTGAGCTTACTGTGTTACAAATATTTTATATAACAATCTTGTAGGAACCCCATGAGTATTGATGTAATGCAACATAGATGTTTTACAAGTACTGTACTATATTGCAAACTTACAAGCTGGAAATACATTCTATATTAATTTTTCATTTGTCAGTAAAGTGCTGTCTAGTCTAGAAATGAAAACTGTTCTGGAAATATAAAAACAATATTTTCAGAATACTATACTCAGACATATAGAAGTTTGAGATAAACTGCAGTTGTAAATTGGCATAATCTCCATTTTCTATAGTCAAAAGTGGTTCATATAATTAATGTCAAGAGAATGTGAATTTAGAGACTTGATCCAAATACTGTACAGTACAGCATGGAAAAACGGATGTGCAAAACACTAACAGTTAGCCGTGGATGCATAGATTTAGGAAAGAAAAATCATGTTTTTTCAAGACAGATTATACTGATGAAAGGGAGAAAAAACATGTGCCTCATATTTTTTATAAAAAATTATCAAGAAAAACAGCTCATATCATACTGTAGGTGAACGTTGAAGTTCTGTGAGATCTTGATGAAAATAAACTTGTTTATTATGAAGTTAGAGAAGTGCTAGAAGTTAGTCTATAATATTTCCCTAAATATGCCACTTTATGCTGAGAGTTAACATTCCAGTAATATCATTTAATTGGATATACTCTGATGCATTTCATTATTCATGAATGATTGAAATCAATATTATTGTCACTGACAGTGATCAACAGAAGTAATTAGTCATGTTAATAGTATCTATGAATGGTAATCATGATCAAGGTCTATTGTGG